ATATTTGTGGTTCGTGTGGTCTAGCGAAAGATGATATTCCCCCCAATGTCCTTTATGAGGACAATGCAACTTGTGTTGCACAAATAAGCAGTGGATATGTAAATAGAACCATAAAGGAACCATGACAAAACATATTACGCCAAAATTCTTTTATCCACATGAGCTCCAAAAGAATGGCGAAATCACCATCGAAAAAGTTCGCTCAAGTGACAATCTTGCAGATTTGTTCACTAAATCTCTGCCTACATCAACTTATGAGAAATATGTTTACAATATGCATAAACTTGAAAGACTATCTTCTTCAAGGGGAGTAAATTCTTAAAGAACAATCCTGAAGATTGGGCCCTGAAGGTCTATTATCATAATTTGCCCCTTTTCGCTAAGTTTTGTCCCACTGGGTTTTTCTTAGCATAGACTCAGAAGATTGTCATCATCAGGGGGAGCGAATTTTCAACGCAATCCCGAAGATTGTGCCTTGAAGGACTATAGTTGTACTCTTTTTTCCTTTTGCTAAGTTTTGTCCCCCATGGTTTTCTTAGCTAAAGGTTTTTAATGAGGCAACTAATGCAACACAAGTTTGGATCCCGAAGATCTATAGTTGTACTCTTTTTCCCTTTGCTAAGTTTTGTCCCACGGGGTTTTCTTAGTTAAAGGTTTTTAATGAGGCAACTAATGCAACAAGAATCTACTAATGTCGTGTACTCTTTTCCTCGGCTAGTTTTTATCCCACTGGGTTTTTCTAGCGAGGTTTTTAACGAGGCATTGACATTTCGAAGTAATGTCCAAGGGGGAGTGTTGAAATCTAAAAGATATTTTGTTGATATCTAAAAGACAAAATGTATGTAGACATTACTTTGTATGTGGACTATTAATTTCATGTCCTTTTGTATTCCATCATGTATCTATAAATTGTACGATGTATGGAAATGGAATAGGGTGAATAAAAGATTACAATTTCTCTTCTTCTCTTATCTCTTGTCTCTTGTTTCATTTCTTTAGTATATTACAACAATTTGCTATTTTTGTAAAATATTTAGCACTGACTTCGTAAAAGAAAATACTAGTATGTTTTTAAAAAATTGCATTATTTGATGGCCTTTTAAGGTATTACACCATCAAATTTTTTTAAAAATTTTTGAAACATATTTTCGTATATAGAGAAATCAATAGAAATCTCCTCATATTTGGAAAAATAATATTCATTTTTCACTTTTCGACTATACTATTTTCTCAGGTTCTATGTCATGCAAAAGCTTATCTCGTGCACCAAAATACTAGTATGTTTTAGTACAAACGATTCGATAAGGCGTGGATAGAGAATCATATAAAAGATTAAAAAGAGATCTAATGGATCTAAATTGAAAAATAGGACAATGTTAATAAGTTTTTCTCATTTATCATAATATTAAGTTTTTCTCATTTATCATATTTATTATTATGTTAAGAAAGGTTTCCCTGTAGATATACTACGAGGGTTGCATATTGGGATTTATTTTCTCATTTAACATTTTATATCATACTCCATTAGAGGCACTTAATTCTTCCTTCTATGGAATTACTTGTTGCTTAAAGATTTAGCTTTTCCATTTTAGATATTGAATTGTTCATTTATAAAAGAACAAAATTTTACTATAAACTCAAACCAACTTGTAATTACCAAAATCGACTCTTTTTTTTAATTACCAAAATCGACCCACTTTATGCCACGTAAGCTTAATCACATTTCCTGATTAGTCGGGTTGTCAACCCCAACTGTTTAGGGCATTAAAAATCGGGTTTAATACTTCTAATTGGGGTTTAACAACCTCCTAAACAGTCGGGGTTGGCAACCCCGACTAATTAGGAAATGAGATTAAGCTTACGTGGTATAAAGTGAGCCGATTTTGATAATTTAAAAAAAATAAGACGATTTTGATAATTAAAATTTGGTTTGAGTCTACAGTAAAAATTTGTTGTTTATAAAATTACTTGTACCAGAGTACTTCAAACTTGCTTCCAAAAAGAGAGAAGGGCTCTGTCTCTCGCTTCTGCGTTTCCCATTTTGCCCCCTAAAATTCATCCAAAATTCCTCAAAACACAAACCCTAACCTTTTGATTTCAAAACCCCCTTTTTTTTTTCTTCCAAAACTACGGCTCTTCACCTGATTTCACTTCTTAAAACCCTACCCTCTACAATGGACCCATC